TAAATAAAAATGTACTTCTTTAAATATTAGCCAATCCAAATCTCATGAAAAAACACGTCTAAATTAGAATTAAAAATTAAATAGCCTTACTTATATTAAAATGTCGTAAATAATAATTTTTGTTATGACGCTATAATTGTACAACAAATAAGAAATTAGATTCTTTTTATACTTCTCCATATTTATAACAGAGGCATCAAGAAAGTTTTGCTGCAATTAATTGTCTGTTACATTCTTCCGAATCGTACAATAGATTTCTACATAATTTTAGCCGAAGGTTTAAAGAAAAATAGAAAATTTAAGTTATACTATTAGTGTTTCCACAAAAACAAGCTTTTATTCACTTTCTGCAGCTTCCACGCGACACGACTATGTCATGACTATGTCAAACATCATGGCTTGCCGGTTCAAAACGTGCAAACAAACTATTTAGCGAACTCAGCGCAAGGTTTCTTGAAAATTCAACTACTAATAATTGTATTAGACCTTGGTCAAAGCAAATTAAAAATTGCGTGGACCGCAACGAACGTCGTCGGGAAGCTATTTTCTTTTTGAGAACCACTTCCATGTTCGACCGCGTCGTTACGCTGAAAGCCTTTAACGACTGAAAGAACTGGAACCCAATGGCGGAGAGACTTGTCGAGATCCGGTTTTCCAACTACTTATTTTTAGTTGAACGGAGCACCGGATCCGAGACAAAACGCGAGAGCGACGTTGAAAATAATTTACATTGATTTCTAAATCCGGCATGCTCTGCCGATTGATTTTTCTGATTGAACCTTGGAACGTCCCAGCGTCAATTTCATTTATTTTTTCTTTCCTCCGTTCCATGTCGAGGCGTCGCGATGAACACACGCGATCAATTAATGACGGCTGCTCCATGCACGGAATTATTGTTGTATCCACAGAAGGTGTGTTGTAACACTGTCCTATCACTTTTAACGTGTAAACACTAGTATGCAAGGTAGAAGGAAAACTCGTGACACGAGTGAACGTGCTGCTGCACCAGGGAACAGTTTCCTTCATAAATCTTTTCACAATAGACACAATGTGATTTGTACGATTTTCGTAAACGATGTTGAATAGTTGATGCACTAAGATTGCTAATAACGTTCAATAATGGATATTCGAAGATAAAACCGGACGAGTCATTTTACGATGTGCCGCGGTGTATAATTTCGCGTTGCCTTGCCGTTGGCATTCAGGTGGAATTGTAAGGGAATGATTTCAATTCTGCGAAAAATAACGTCGCGTTTGAAATCCCCATCTTGGTCTTAATACTAGCATGGAAACCTTGAGAAAGAGGTTGCTAAGAAGCGTTAGAAACCTTAGGTTGCCGAAACGAATGAATATGCGAGCCGCAAAGCAAACGAGTATTGCGCTGCTCTCTGCAACGACAAATATTTATTTTTATTTTTTCGAAGATACCAGTGCTCTAGTTTTTTTTTATGCACGAGAAGTGGGAATTGGATAAATCAGAACTGATCATTATCATAAAATTTTGTCAATTTTGACGAGAATTCTCTTGTGATGTGAATTCTCAAGGTGTAAAGTTACAGAGGATGTGTACGCGTTTTTTTGTGTTTAATACATGAACTTACTAATTCTAAATGCGAATGTGCTATAAATTTGTTTTTTATTATTAAATGAATACTGCTACATAATGTCGATATACAAAATTATATATTTATTCCGGTATTGTAATAATTAGAGTGCGGATCTTAATGCAGAATAATTATCTTTTAAAACAATTTGAAGAAATAGAAGTCAAATAAGATTCAACAAAGAACATTTCTTAAATTCTTTTAATGTTTTCATTGTTTGGTCGATTTTAGCATAAATGCATAAAACCGGCAGTCTAGTAATAAAACTAAACTATCGCTATAAATAGTTCCGGTGTTTATTGGTGCTACACGTAATTATTTAGGAGGCGTATGCAAATTTTATTTCTAAAAATATCCAACATGAATCAAGTGTTCCTCTACTAAAATTGAGGAAAATGGTGTTGTATAGGCGAGTAAACGTCGAATTCCTCAAATATTAGCTTTCTGTAATTCTCTTTCGCAGAACTGCTGCAAACAATTTCCAAGAGTACTTCTAAATTACCGAAGGTAATTCTTTGAAACCGATTGCGCATGTTAAACTAAAATGGAACTAGAAAATCATCTCTTTCGGATTTTCGTAAAAATAAATACTTTCTAAATCTATTGTACAAAATAAGAGATAAATGCAAACGTATCTCTTCTTATAATAATTTTTTATAAATCGGGTATAATTTAACAACATTCTTGAATTTTTTGAAAGAGAAAGACAGTTGAACGTCTGACGAATCTCAAAAGGCTAGACCTTCCAAAGACTTGGGAAATGTGTACAGGGAAGAACAGTTAAGCAATTATTAATTGAATCATATATTATTCAAAACATTTGAATTCTATTATGGTTTCACTAACCATATACACTATTCGGGAATTTAGGACATTAATATTTTGTCAACTAAATTGGAACGCAGTTGACATTCAATTCTGGAGAAAATCTAGTCTTTAGTTCGCGTGCAATATACACATACTATTCATATTAACAGTAATTCATATATTTCAGCAAGGAAAAAATTACAAATGAAAGCAAACGTCTGCTTCTGGGTCAGATTAACCCGAACGGCGCCCGAGGCTTGAATACTTCATTAAAACATGCAAGGTTTTACTGGCAAAAACGTTCATTTCTATGCAATTTTGCACCTAAAAATATTTTTTCCAAGAGTGGATTTGAAGTACTTAAAGCGCACGTTTAATTTGACAATTTACAAAAGATACTAAAATATATTTTTCTTTTTTTTATTAAATAAAGATAATTCCGGTTCAAAAGCAGAGTATCTAAAATATTGCACCCTTTAGAAACGTTAACAGTGTTTCTCATATTCGTTTACGTACCTGAAAACATAAATCAGTTTAAAACACAAAACCATGATATATAACCAGAGAGAAATACATTCAAATGCCTTTATTATTACAACTCTCGTCGATATCATCGACATCAAATGCCTTTATTACTTTATTTCTCATCAAAAATTGAAAAAATAATTGACAATCAGCACTATAAAATTTAATTAAGATTTTTATACCCGGTGGTACAATAGTCAATACGTGGAACAGATACATTCTATGTTAAACACGATGTGTATTGTCATAAAAATGTGGACGAAATTTAGCACAGGAAAGTTATTTTTCTGGACATTACGCAATTCGTTAATTTAACTTTTTGTACTTAATATTTAATATTATTATATTGTAATAATATTACTTAATATTTTTGTACTTCTTTGTGATTGTCGCTTATGTGTATCTAAACGTAATTATGTGTCGTAGTCAGACATTTGACTTCACTTTTACCCTAAGAATCCTTTTCTTCAGATCAATTTTAAAACTATAACTAGATTGCGAATCTTTATGAAAATTCTCACTTGTATAGTCATCTGTACAAAAACTTAAACACAAAAATTCATTTCGCAATAACAAAAGTAAATATATCATCGAGTTTCCTCCAACTTCTTAAAAATCAATATGAAACATTTCCAATGTCGGATGTGTAAAAACCGGCACAAATGATCGCTCTATTCACATACTTAACAACTGCAGAGGCAACCGATGAAAATTCATCGCTCGCGACATACTGTTTCAGCAAGAAAAGTGAAAGTTCTCACTTTCATTTTTCATAGAGTTAACTAGACAGATAAAAGTTTGCGTAAAAATTCGTAACCTAGCCATAACTTTAAGTAACGACAGGAATAAAATGAATCGAGTTATCTTCATATAAAGTAGAAAATTACGATCGTATATGACACGCATATATACTATGCGACGGTTGGCAGCGAACGTGCGAAGTCGCGCAGCGTTCCAACGTAAGTAAGAGAAGCGAAAAGGAATACGTTGTAAACAGACATCGCGAGCACAGCTGATAGGGAACAAGGGGATTGGCGCGAAGACGACGAATACGAGACAGAGAATGCACGACAGGAATTATCGACGCGCGCTGCTCGAGTATACCGCTATATCAGCTTCAGCGATCAAGGTCGTGAGGCGAGGGTCTTCCGCTACGTACATATGTTCAGGAAGCCGATGGACACGAGTCTAAAGACTCGGCTCCAACGAGCTCAGCTCCATCGTTAATTCTCGTGGACACTCATCCGTCTCGACAATAATCGATTCGAACGAATAGAAAAAGATCTCCCGATATTTCTCATTAAGCTCTACACCAAGGTGGAATGGCACATCATTCATAACTAACTCCATTTTCCTTGCGAATCAGTGCTCCACAACAGGTGAATCAATTAGCTACAATAGAACATCTACTCCACGGAACCTGAAGAGAACTCCCTTTAGTTTTGGAACTAGTGCAGAGGAACTACATTTTGGAACTATAACCGACGTTTTCACAAATTAACAAAACTGAGACGGAGTACGATCATGTACCCGTAGGAATCACAAAACATTTCGATATAGCGTGGCTTGAATTAACGAAGTGATGTTACGGTGATTAGAAACCGGACCGTGAAGTACTTCGGAATTTCGATAGGAAAGGGTAGCAGCATCGATAACGATCCGCGTCTCGTCTCGTCTGGTTTTGGGGAAACGCGGCTCGCCGTGCGAATTTCCGTCAGTACGCTGTCAAATATTTGTCGGTCATTTTCGGTGGCCGTACGTAACCTGTCACGCAATCTAGAGCTGCAACTACGGCCGCGTAGTTTTCCCCTCGAATTTACGTGACAGTGACGAGAGCGGAACCGTTTACCAGGCGAGAGGAAACACAGAGAGACGGCGAAGATCCCGGCGACCGATCGAGATACTCGTCTGTCAGGAGAGACCGATAGGACAGGAATCCCCCCATGGAATTTCCCATGGGCAAAGTAGGAGAAAGCGAGACGGAGAGGAACCGCGTGTTCCGTCGCGCCGACGCGCGACGCGACTTGAACGCGACTCGACTCGTCGTTTACAGTTCTCGCTCACCTGCGAATCGTCCGCGTATCGTTGCGGCCAAAGCTGGACTAAAATGCAGATCCAGGTGTCAGACAGCTTTCCTTTCCTCTCTCGCTCGCTCTCCCTTTCTTTCTCTCTGTTTCTCTTTCTCTCGCGTGACTCGTGTCCCTCGACTCGTCGCGTTCCCTCTCAAGAACTTCCGCCCGACGTGCTCGCACTCTTTCCTACTTTGGCTAACTCTATGTATGAAACGTCACCTCCGCTTCCTAGTTCCCGAACTGATCTCGTGAGCGCAGCTCCGAGCGAAAACCCGCCAAGACGCCCGGGCGTTTCGTCGCATTCGTGCACGAACAGTAACTGACGGCGGCGGCTTCGTCATCCGAGCGATCAGTACGGTACCTGAGCGCGCGTACACTCCAGCAGACCGACTCCTCGGCGGACCAATCGGAACGCTATCCCGTCCGTCACGTGCATGCGCGAACTCTTAACTAGCGGCGGCAGTGTTTGAATTACTCGATCGTTGAATACCATCGTAGGCTCGTTTAATAAGTTTCTGCTGCATCAGCTATGTTATTTTCGTTCTGGAAATATTCGTATGCGCGTGGAGAAGTATCTGTTCATAGTTTAGGTTATACTGTAAATGTTACATCGTTTCTAAGTACGTAATCGTAAAAAGTGAAGGGTGGAATGGGCAATGATTTTTGGAATATTGATTTTTTTTACTGTTTTAGGAAGGGATCTGTGTGTAGTAATTGTATGTATTGAGAACAGTGAAACATAAAGATGTGATTGGAAGTAAGATTATTGAATTAATGATAGGATTATGTGTATGTGAATATAAACGGTTCTGCTAACAGAATATTTTTATTTTTTAAATGTTTGTAGTGCACTCATTCCGGTCGAGTAGAGGAATTCTACTATTAGGGCGCACCTGTCAGGTTCATTCTGTAATAATACTACACTTTACGAATATGTAAAGTGTTACGAATATGACCGTGTTATTTTTTCAATTGAAATCTGGTAAATAATTAAATAAATTTTATGCAGTAATGTATGAGATAGAAATATTTAATCATTAACATTTGTAAAACAAATACATTCTTGTAATAATTGCTAACATAGAAAGTGTGTAATTTGTATATTTTATTACATTATATAAGCTGTGTTAATTTTGTCAAAAGATTAATTATTAGCGCTTATTGAATAATTATTGTATAGGGCCCGCCAAACATCTATGAACAGTTAAATATTTCAAAATAAATTATTGAATAGTCATATCTGTTAAATACCAAGGAAAAACTCTGTTTTCAAAATTACTTTGTTTTTGGGATATTCAACTACTCCGGTATTTTTGAAGAACCCTGTATATTATAAGTTCACGGTTCCTTGACACGGATTCGTGCCTTCGCGATTATCTGCCATTCGCTGCCAGATGGCACCTGTTGTTTCATTCGTTCCAACTGATGGAAACCACGCGTGAAAATAGTTTAACTACTGAGCAGTCGAAATAATTTATTTGCAATTTTATATGAACATTGTGCTGAAGTACTTATTTAAAAAATTTTCACGATCTTTATTGTGATATTCTGATATATAATGTGAATATATATTAATATGAATGACTATTTATGCAATTTTTTAATTAATGTTATGAAATATTTAACTATAAACATTTTGTAAAAGTATAAATGTTATTTTTATTATTTAGAAGTATTATTGTATTTGACTTTATAACATTTTGTAAAATTAATAAGAAATAGCTCATTTAAACTGTAAACAATTTCTCCATTTCTGCAAGCGTCTTGGAATATTGATTACCATTTTGTTTCCACTATGAAATGCATCGACATTCTAGGCACGGAGTGTCTGCTTCCGCTTTGTCGGACCTCCGCGTCTACGATCTCATGATCAAAGCGCATCCATACCGGCCGTGATAAGTATGACACGCAATCATGTAGAACGCAAACAACATTAATATTTTTATAGTTCTTCTGTCTTGGTTGTGCATCGGAGTCTACTACGTGTATCGGAATAACTACGTGTTGCAATTTTTTAGTCATCTTTTCAAAATAAATCTATTTACATATACTATTCTGCATTAGTAAAAATTTTAATCTTTCTATTAGTCATTCAGATCAACTAATTTACTATCAATTAGTGACAATAACCTTGCAAAACTGTACTATGTGAACACAATTAGCGACGATAAGATGCGTACTCAATACTGAATTCGGTACAAGTTTCAGCAGAGGTGACGATTTTATTGCTTCAACATTGGTATAATTTTTAAAAAATTAGAGGAACTGACAAAAAATGAGGAAAACATGTCGCAGATTAATTTGGAATACCTAAATCATATATAAATAACGACAAATTGAACGAAAGATTAAAACTTTTTATATATCCAACAGCTAAATGAACTTTCCCAATTTTATATTGTCACGACTAGGAAAGTTAGGTTTTATTTGGAGATAAACAACACACGGTGTGACGTAAGAAAAGTCATTATGACGAGCAGTTTCTCCGAAACGATCGATGGCATTGTCCAACCGCATCGCGCAATTCACTATCAAAGAATGCATTGATTTTGTTGCATCACGAAATTGGTGTCGACACTTTTTCTGAACATATCGTCAAAACTGTGTCAAAAAGTCGACTTCTTGCACACTGCATTCATTATTATAATAAAATATCAGTACGAAAAGGAGGAAGTTCAATATGACTTTCCCTTCCAAAAGAAAAATTTTGCAAAATAGGATAGTGCTCGAAATTTTAACTGACGTCATAAATACATCATATAGTGCGATTTGAAGGAATAACCAAATTTATATCATACAGTTTCTAGAGAAATTGATATTCTTATATTTTGGTGGTAGCTGAATTCAATATTTTATCAAAAATGCAAAATTCAAAATGAAGGATCTAAAATCACTGGACTGAATGTTTTAAACGTTAGGTTCATTAGCGTTAAGGTCGCTCGAGTGACGCCTGTAATATGCAATTAATTATTTCGTTAATTACAGCTATTATTAGGAACCAAAAACTGAAATCAAATTTGTGATTTTCTGAATCATTGTGGACTTGACACACGTCAATCACTTCTAGTCTCCCATAGGTTCAGTGCTAATACATGTTGTACATCACATGATGATGTATTGATTATAAAACGAAAGTCTACAATACATATTGTTATTATACGCCATTGCNTTCTGCAAGCGTCTTGGAATATTGATTACCATTTTGTTTCCACTATGAAATGCATCGACATTCTAGGCACGGAGTGTCTGCTTCCGCTTTGTCGGACCTCCGCGTCTACGATCTCATGATCAAAGCGCATCCATACCGGCCGTGATAAGTATGACACGCAATCATGTAGAACGCAAACAACATTAATATTTTTATAGTTCTTCTGTCTTGGTTGTGCATCGGAGTCTACTACGTGTATCGGAATAACTACGTGTTGCAATTTTTTAGTCATCTTTTCAAAATAAATCTATTTACATATACTATTCTGCATTAGTAAAAATTTTAATCTTTCTATTAGTCATTCAGATCAACTAATTTACTATCAATTAGTGACAATAACCTTGCAAAACTGTACTATGTGAACACAATTAGCGACGATAAGATGCGTACTCAATACTGAATTCGGTACAAGTTTCAGCAGAGGTGACGATTTTATTGCTTCAACATTGGTATAATTTTTAAAAAATTAGAGGAACTGACAAAAAATGAGGAAAACATGTCGCAGATTAATTTGGAATACCTAAATCATATATAAATAACGACAAATTGAACGAAAGATTAAAACTTTTTATATATCCAACAGCTAAATGAACTTTCCCAATTTTATATTGTCACGACTAGGAAAGTTAGGTTTTATTTGGAGATAAACAACACACGGTGTGACGTAAGAAAAGTCATTATGACGAGCAGTTTCTCCGAAACGATCGATGGCATTGTCCAACCGCATCGCGCAATTCACTATCAAAGAATGCATTGATTTTGTTGCATCACGAAATTGGTGTCGACACTTTTTCTGAACATATCGTCAAAACTGTGTCAAAAAGTCGACTTCTTGCACACTGCATTCATTATTATAATAAAATATCAGTACGAAAAGGAGGAAGTTCAATATGACTTTCCCTTCCAAAAGAAAAATTTTGCAAAATAGGATAGTGCTCGAAATTTTAACTGACGTCATAAATACATCATATAGTGCGATTTGAAGGAATAACCAAATTTATATCATACAGTTTCTAGAGAAATTGATATTCTTATATTTTGGTGGTAGCTGAATTCAATATTTTATCAAAAATGCAAAATTCAAAATGAAGGATCTAAAATCACTGGACTGAATGTTTTAAACGTTAGGTTCATTAGCGTTAAGGTCGCTCGAGTGACGCCTGTAATATGCAATTAATTATTTCGTTAATTACAGCTATTATTAGGAACCAAAAACTGAAATCAAATTTGTGATTTTCTGAATCATTGTGGACTTGACACACGTCAATCACTTCTAGTCTCCCATAGGTTCAGTGCTAATACATGTTGTACATCACATGATGATGTATTGATTATAAAACGAAAGTCTACAATACATATTGTTATTATACGCCATTGCCTCTCTCTCTCTCTCTCTCTCTCTCTCTCTCTCTCTCTAAACTAGTATAATAATTTATTAATTAAAAATCTGAAAAATTATACAAATAACGAACATCTGGTCATATTTAGTGTATACTTCGTAGTCAAACTTACGTCTAATTTTATTCTCTTTATGTAAAATCGCTACACGTGTCACATAGAATATCAAATACACAGAACCCGGTAAATTACGACGTCCACAAACAAAGCTTCTGCGCATACAGGCAGCCTTGGAACACATCGAGTCTCGTATAATAATAAATGTTTTCCCGAGCTGTACATTTTGTAGTGCGTTTTCTACGCTGTTCTTCGAATTAGTTTTCTATAGAGCAATTATTAACAAAAAGAAACGTAGAAAATTGTAATGAACTTTGCGACATCATTTTTTGCGGTCCAAGATTATAATTACAAATACTGCTCTAACGGTATCGTTCTCGCGCCAAACACGGTCAACACGTTGATTGCCATGTCGTATGCCATGGTGACACAATCCTTTGTCTATTTTTAACAATTAATTTGTTTCGTTATATATTTACATAAACCAAACTTCACTAAGACCTCTAGAATCTGAAGAAATGAATGGAATAATATGATCGATTTTAACTTCGCAATTTTAGTTTCGTTAACGAAGTTAATTTACCTTTATGGGACTTTTTGTCACAATGGCTTGGCGTTCGACGTATTAAAATCATGCTCGGTCTCAGACTGTTTGGGCATTGTTATTAAATTTATATGGGGAGAGTGTTGTTGCAGTGGCTGCTGGGAACGAACCTACAGGAAGTCGGGACGTTTCTGGTCGCGAGCACGTGTACCACCACTTCGGTGAAACAGTTCGAAAAACTAACTAAATATAGAATACGAGCGGCGCTATTGTTAGGTTGCCTACGTTTTCGTAGGTCCCATCTTTCGTTCAAAGTTGTCCTCGTACGATCGTCGCGAGCGCTCGTCGCGAATTTATGGGATCTCGAGATTTTACCATTCACGCGGCGAGCATGCGCCACTAAAATGGAGGAACACGGTGGTTGTAGCAAAGTCAGTGTACGAAATGTTAGCAAAGCTTTTTAATGAAATACTTCTTTATGTTCGCAAGATATCTTGCTCAAACGAAACACTGTTTTTACAGAATGATCTTCCGTAATGGAATCGCAATTTGTTATACTCTTTTCTTATTACACTTATTATCGAGTCTAAGCATCGCTTATTCGAATATCTAGTTTCTGGCGATTAATTAAATTTTTTACATGTTTCGTTAAGGTCTTTAGAAAAACTAACGTCTATATACTATGAAGTTTTGGAATTGACATTCGGCAATGAACGTGTCAACATCTGTCTGTGTCGGCGAAGGTCGCGGCGGATAATTGCATTGTTTGAAAAAGATCGCTGAAACGGGAATCGATTTCCTAGATCGCGGAAAACGACGCGGAAATGCGACGCGCGCCGGCGCGAGCTCGCCTAAGCGAAGGCTTCGCCATCCTTGCGCACGCAGTCTTTCGAAACGATATTTTTAGAGAAGTGAGTCGCTGGCCGCAAGTAGCGACGGTAGTCAAGTGTCGTCGTTGACCCCAACAAAATCGAGTTCTGTGAAGACTAGAGGATTCGGATGACCGCCAACATCCGGTGAGTATTCGCGATCCTGGGACACCGGACAACGTCGCCGGAAACGTCACCGAACGTCCCCGCGTCATCCGCATCGATCCGGTCGGTTTCGCGATTCCCGACATCCGACGCGTTGCTTATCCCTCGTGACATCGCATCATCCGCAAGACAACGCCGTCCGCGACCGCGATCATCTTCTGTTCCACGCAGTAAAACGGACGGTTATCGGGCTGCTTTAATGGAACTAAATTTGGATCGCGCATCGAAGTGCCCGGTGCACCTATTTATGATGTATTTATGGCACCGAACTTGGTTTGTTTTGCTCGGCAAACGGCCGCATGAAACCTCTTTTGTCCTTTATACGTTCGATTTTCAGGTTATCGAATGAAATTCTCCGATATATTGACCAGATAATTCTTCCACTTCGACGCGGCTGAAATCGTTGACTTGGTGTTGCTTTCTTGTGCCAGTGAATTTATATAACGACGAGGCGACAGCCGACCGCCTTCGCCTTCGCGAGTTCTTTGTTTTCGTTTGCACGAGCACGAAACGACGCACAACACCGTTTTCGATCGTAGATCGAGTTATATTTAAGAGTATTTACATCGGACCACGGCGTGCTACGCGGAGAGACGCCGCGCCGCGCCGCGGTCGTAAAGTTTCTTCGAGGATTCTTTGCCAGCAGCTTTGATCTTCGCTAGAAGGGAAGCTGGAAATATTTCGGGCCTCGAAAGTGGAGACGGAAGAAGTCTGTTAGATTTTCTACTGACTGACCGTTTCTGGTTCTTTCGAGTCTTCTTTGCTGCGAGCAGCAACGGAGCCTTTTACACTTTGACTGTCAGCAGTTTTCTCATAGTGTTTTTCAAATTGAAGATCCATAGTTGAAGAGTTGTTCAAAAATTGTTGAAAAGCGACGACAGTTCCATCCAAAATTAGTTGCATTGTTCTTCTGAAGGTATAATTGAAGTCATACAGCTGAATCGTTGAAAAATTTATTAATGGAGTTTCAGTAAATGAAGTTTTACAATAAAGGTCTGGCTTCTAAATATACTGACTGACCTGGTCCGACTTTTTTCTTCCGTGCCAATTCATTCTTCGTCTCCTTCCTATTCTCGTTTTGCCTCCCTGAAGCACGCGCGCTCTGTGCAGTTAATTGTAATATCGTAAATCGGTAGGAGCCGTTATATAGGCTCATTTATCTTGGCACGTGTTCTATCGCGAAGTGCTTTAACAGAAGAGAAATAATAGCTTCGCGAAAATGCAATGGAAAACGTATGGTGGTATTGGATAGTGAAAAAGTTAGAAACGATTTTCTCCGAACATTCTACATTCGTATGAATTTATTGTGTTTGTGCAGAAGTTTTGGATATTTCAAGTACACTAATCAATTGATTAATTAAGAGTTTATAGATTTTGTAGAAAAGACAGTGGTTTTTGACTTGCTTAATACATCTTAAGCGGGAAACCCTTAAACGCGTTTCGTGCTTATTATTATCAAAGCGCGGGAACCGACAAATCTCATTTTCTACGAATTAGGGGGAACAATGATTACGCATTATTTATTACTAGATGTTGTACTGTGTACGTTTCTGTCGATTCTGTTTTTATAAATTTTTTATCATTAAAAAATTATTGAATATTTCTTGCCAAATACCTAACTACCGCTATATGATGAGAATTTGACGAGAAAACACCCGCTTAAAATGTGTTAATACAAATTAGATATAATTGGAAATATAGAATATAAAGCCTGAATACTTTAAGATGAAAAGAAATTGTACTTACAACATCATAGTAGACACAATTCTATCATTATAATTTCATGTATTTGATTTGTTGATGTTCTCAAGTATATATGTATAAGTATGTTTGGTAATACGTCGTTATTCTTTAACGATCGTGTCATCTGACCATATAAATGTTCTGCATTAAAAATTAGTGACAAAGCAAGTGCAACGTTAAAAAAATACACCCGGGGACAGAATGAAATAAGCAGGAAATAATGAGCAATAGTGAGAATACATTTTATCGACGTTTGTTGTTGATTTCGACGCATCAGATTATCTGCAGGAGAAGCTAATTGGCCTATGAGGTTTGACGAGTAATCCCCTTTAATTATTATATTGTGGAATAAATGATGCTTTCACTGCAAGCATTCAAAAAATAACCAGCTCACCATTCGATGAGTCGAATGTGAATCACGTGTTTCGTCGTAGTTCTTTTTGTTTGCATTCATGACAAAAATTAGTGTGCAAAACATAAAACATGAATAATTCCTAAAAATATGAGAACGCTGTTGTTTTACTTCAGAGCCACAAAGTTGACTAAGAAATGGATCTTTAATAAGTTCCTGTTTCTTACAATTGCTTCAATTGTAAGAAACAATATGCAGTAGAATCTCAATTATCCGAACATTCGATATCGGAATTATTTGTTTCTCAAACACTACTACACTACTATACTATTATATAAAGGCTACACTATTTATTCTGTAAATCGGTAAAAATTTAATCCAACTTTGCAACTAAGTTTCAATTCTGTAATCTGACCATTCGTATTTCCTCGATCAGTTTGTACAATCGACGTTTCACTCTATTATTTTCTTCATTCTTTCAGACTATTTAGTTGCTTGCAGGAAGACAGGGCCACCGAACCACGGGAATCCTCGCGGATAAATTAACTATTTAAGTAGAATAAGTGCAGAATGGGTGCGACTGGCAGTAGTAACAGTGCACCGCCTCCGCCTCCGCCATTGAGATCGCAGAGCGAAGAAACATTTATCTACGGGACAGAGGAATCCTGCTGTCCGGAGTACACGAACGAAAATATACGACAAAGGACGAGGACCAGCGGGTTCGACGTGGGTGAAGAACCTCGATCGCAGGTTAAATTTAAAACGAATATATTTATTGGTCTTGAGAACGACTCGAACAGCCCAGATAGAAGCCGGAGAACGTTTTACGCGGTATATACAGGGTGTAAATAAACTATAGGCGCGAACTTTAACGGCCAATGGTGCTTTATGAAGAGAATCGAGCTGTCTTGGTGATCGTTTGCGTGGAAACTAGTCGTCTCAGGGACTTGCCGATAGTATTTGCGCAGGGGGGGTTATTAAAATCGTACGGGGACGAGTATATTTCAGCGTGGATAATTTTAGATTACGCCTTAGATATTGATTATTTATTCTGAAGAAGGTATACTCGTTATAAAATTATAAAAGAAACACTATCGATTCATGAAACGAATAGTAATTTAGGATTCGGTTTTAAATGGGTATAAGTCGCCTGCTTCTTTGTATAAATATTGTTTAACCTTGCACGGAATTTATGAAATTGTATAAATAAGGAGGATCGGGTCAAATTGGACTGAAATACATATTACCCTCTATTAAGGGTATAAAGAATTTTTATCAAGAATTTGTGAATCAGTTTTCGGTTTAAATTGGCTCAATTTTCGTGCGAGACTTGACGACGTTTATCATGCATTAACACGTTCACTGCCATAACATTTACAATTAGATGTCGGAATTATTTGTTCAAACTTAAAACATAATTTTTACACCGATAGATTCAGTATACGAATTACAACAGAATTGGAAGAGTTGTCTGCAATATCATTGCAACATAATAATCTTAATGAATTGCAATAAATAATACAGTAGTGGTTTTGAATTCTTTAAATGTTTTCACTGTTCTGCGTTTAATCTACTCGGTCTTATCATAAACGCATAATATTCGCATTCTAGTAATTACTATTGTAAGTCTTACCTTCTCTGTCATTGTTTTTATTAAATAAATCGTTTTGATTTTGTCGAGTTCTTGTCTCTGAGTGAACAGTTAATGTATTAAAATATGCATGCGTATTTTCGGAAATCTGTATTTTTTTGAGAAGAAGGACATTTTTCAGGGCCCCAGCCCTTATGCGACTTTCAGAGGTGAAGAATGGTGGAGTCAAAGACCATCGGCGCCCAGTTTGTCGAACTTAACGCCTGGTCGACGCGAGACCCTGGTGAGCAATTCTCTTTGTTTAGTTGTAGAAATCGTGAATAACATATTATTTGATGTATTATATTTACCAGTGCAATGCATAAATTCATTCCTGTGCATAATTCATTACTATGCATAAGTAATTCATTACCATGCATTAGCAGATGCCTAACCCAGATCTAACAATTACCATACTATGCATTTGTAAATAGCATCAAATAATTGGACTGAACATTTCACAAATAATAACGAAATATTTTTCGTTTCATTTGATTCAGTTATATTTACAATCAATTCCACTATGTAAAAGAATTTTTATTAATGATAATAGTATGTTCAAACAGGAATAGTAATTATTAGACTGCAGATTTTGTGCATTTATAAAAAATACTGAACAAATTGAAAGAAGTTAAGAATATTGATGTACTAATTTCAACATGTTCAAGTACAAGAAGTTTGCGATTTCTCCTCCGATTATAGTTATTTCCAGGTCGCTGTGAATCGATTTATTCCAAGGTGGATTGTATATAGTCCTTAAGGTTTATGACTGGAACCTTTGTCAAAGTTCAATGTTAGAAAGGCTGGCAATGTTCCAAAGTTGAATGCCCTAAGTACCAGTGGGTTTAATGATAATTCTCATTGGAAAGTATTCTGTCTTTAAATTCGATTTAAAATCTATGAGCCAGTATAGCTTTTTCGTCTTCAATTTAAGCTTCGTTGTTTTTTATATATATTTTTAGCATGTTAGTCTTCTACCTAGCGTTATGCTTAGTGATTTAATCCTCTGCACTCGAACATATTTTAACTCGAGAACCCAGATATTACTTTTGATCTAGAAGATTTCTATTCTATTCCACGTTCGTTCTCCGTTTGCATATAAAATTGTACACTTATACATGCCACACTTATCTTTCTAAATGTTTATTAAATACAAACAGATTTAGCAATGCAAAAAATCCTTTCAAATCGCATCAATTTTATTGGTGCCACGAATTTGCTATTCGAATGAAAAGGCTTAATATATTCTTCTCATATTTCCACCTAATTTTAAAGCAGTAAAACTGTTTTAAAATCGAATTCTATTTAATTATTAGAGGAATTAGTTTAGTGTGTCTGTAAGAAAAATTTAGACAATACGTTTTGTAGATCTCGATAGGATAGAGTCTATCCTATCAACTCCAAAAGATTCAAGTCATTTAGTCCAGTTTTAAAAAAGTTATACCGTTTTAAAAGGTGTGCAAATACTTTTTTTTACCTATTATATAATACTCCGTTCCATTTGAAAAAAAGCAAAAGGATTTTCGATGTAGAATCTCGATTATCCGTCACTCCAATATCAGAATTCTCGAAATACGTTTCACATGCAATCAGCGCAATCGAAGACGACCCACGTGCAAAATGATTTCGATACAAATAAAGAAATAAATAAGTAAAGTTTGGCGCCGAAAGTAAGTAACTGATCTACTATCCGAACATTCACGTCGCTCTATACAGCCCCAATAATCGAGATTCCACTGCAGTGCCAAATGACTTTCACATTCCGAGGAAAGTTTTTTTTTTTTTATTATTTTGATAAGTACATCTGCAATCTGTTACAAAATAACAATAAGCAAGATTTTATAGCTATTTACTCATAATATGTAGATATTTCGCCCACTGGCTCATATCTTCATTGGTTTTCTTCTAGCTAATATAATTGCTATAAAGGTTTTATCACGTTTTGTTTTTGAGATTAACTTATTTCCTACTTGTCTAGTATTGCACCTCGAGTATCTTGAAATCTGTGTCTATTGTCTAGCGGTTTGAATCTTTTGAGTCTGCGCGTATCAGTCTGTTCATTTAGTAGTTCGTTTGCTAACATGTTTGGGTGAAGTTCGAGTTTGACAGTGTATTTGTCGGTAAAGTTTTTAATTTCATTTTTGACGGTAGGTATCTGTAGGTCATTGCGTATGTTATTATTCGTTATATACCATGGGGAGTTTGTTATCATGCGGAGAAGTTTCGCCTGAAATCTCTCGAGGATCTCGATGTTGGACACGGAGGATGAGCCCCGAGGAAAGTAACGTAGTAATCGTTTCCGTGTCCGTTTAATTCCGAATCGGAGCGATCGAAAGGGACTGTGAAAACATCAAGTGCTTCTGTCTTGTTGCGATGGTTCAGTGCGCAGATGCCGGCACGAAATTTTCCCAGCGAAACGTGCTCTTTTGTCCGGGAGAGGAAAAGCGCCGCGAGACGCTGGCCGGACTCCAAAAATCCCCCCGGGTCTTCGTGTTTTCGGGAGAACACGCTGAGTCACGATCACGAACAGACAAGTTCGCAGGCATCGATCACAATCACGTGCCACTGTGTCCCTCGAGTTCTCTCGGTGATCGTGCTGCGCGCCGTGCCAGATCGCTCGTGTGAATCGCCTGACGTGGATCAAGCTTTCGGAAGCTCGGTGCGACGATCGATCGTTTCACCAACGAAGCACTTTGTTTCGTGAATGGATTCGATTACCCCAGCTCGCTTCGAGATCGCGATCGGTGAACTGAAACGGTACAGCGTACACGTTCTGAAATCCTTCGTACAGTCTGTGGTATTTTTGAGAGTTTCAAGGTAAGGGACGAGGCTGCTGTCTCGGTTAATGTCTTATTTTGTGTGCTCTTCTTTATTGTTAGGGACTGTGGATTAGTTTACTTGTTTAACCTATTTCTCATTTCGTGAAAATTATTTTATGTGGGAATAATTCCATGAAAACAGCAAAAATGTATATTTTAGTCGTTCGTTGAANATAATATGTAGATATTTCGCCCACTGGCTCATATCTTCATTGGTTTTCTTCTAGCTAATATAATTGCTATAAAGGTTTTATCACGTTTTGTTTTTGAGATTAACTTATTTCCTACTTGTCTAGTATTGCACCTCGAGTATCTTGAAATCTGTGTCTATTGTCTAGCGGTTTGAATCTTTTGAGTCTGCGCGTATCAGTCTGTTCATTTAGTAGTTCGTTTGCTAACATGTTTGGGTGAAGTTCGAGTTTGACAGTGTATTTGTCGGTAAAGTTTTTAATTTCATTTTTGACGGTAGGTATCTGTAGGTCATTGCGTATGTTATTATTCGTTATATACCATGGGGAGTTTGTTATCATGCGGAGAAGTTTCGCCTGAAATCTCTCGAGGATCTCGATGTTGGACACGGAGGATGAGCCCCGAGGAAAGTAACGTAGTAATCGTTTCCGTGTCCGTTTAATTCCGAATCGGAGCGATCGAAAGGGACTGTGAAAACATCAAGTGCTTCTGTCTTGTTGCGATGGTTCAGTGCGCAGATGCCGGCACGAAATTTTCCCAGCGAAACGTGCTCTTTTGTCCGGGAGAGGAAAAGCGCCGCGAGACGCTGGCCGGACTCCAAAAANCCTGAAATCTCTCGAGGATCTCGATGTTGGACACGGAGGATGAGCCCCGAGGAAAGTAACGTAGTAATCGTTTCCGTGTCCGTTTAATTCCGAATCGGAGCGATCGAAAGGGACTGTGAAAACATCAAGTGCTTCTGTCTTGTTGCGATGGTTCAGTGCGCAGATGCCGGCACGAAATTTTCCCAGCGAAACGTGCTCTTTTGTCCGGGAGAGGAAAAGCGCCGCGAGACGCTGGCCGGACTCCAAAAATCCCCCCGGGTCTTCGTGTTTTCGGGAGAACACGCTGAGTCACGATCACGAACAGACAAGTTCGCAGGCATCGATCACAATCACGTGCCACTGTGTCCCTCGAGTTCTCTCGGTGATCGTGCTGCGCGCCGTGCCAGATCGCTCGTGTGAATCGCCTGACGTGGATCAAGCTTTCGGAAGCTCGGTGCGACGATCGATCGTTTCACCAACGAAGCACTTTGTTTCGTGAATGGATTCGATTACCCCAGCTCGCTTCGAGATCGCGATCGGTGAACTGAAACGGTACAGCGTACACGTTCTGAAATCCTTCGTACAGTCTGTGGTATTTTTGAGAGTTTCAAGGTAAGGGACGAGGCTGCTGTCTCGGTTAATGTCTTATTTTGTGTGCTCTTCTTTATTGTTAGGGACTGTGGATTAGTTTACTTGTTTAACCTATTTCTCATTTCGTGAAAATTATTTTATGTGGGAATAATTCCATGAAAACAGCAAAAATGTATATTTTAGTCGTTCGTTGAATGATAAATTGTTGAGATCATTTTATTTGCATCGTACTTGAGTAATAACAATTGAGCTGCAAGAATTATTTCGTTAGTAACTGGTTATTTATTGGTAGACTGTGGGATTGTCCAGGACTTGTTCCGGACTTGTTCCAACAAACAGGAACAAGCTAGAAATTTCGTTTTTTGTTTAATAGTTGCAGTTAGTTATTATTAATGTATAGCCAATCTGATATTCTTGTTATCATAAATACATCAAACCCGCGATCTTTTTGTTACGATTAAAATGTATAGACGCGTCAGTACGTATTGCTGAGAATTCAATCTTTCATTGCTTCATTATCGTCAATACAAACGTACTCGTCAATCCATTAAGAAAACTGAAGATCACATTGAAATCTCTGAAACATTTTCTTCCAGAAAAATCACATGTCTTATGAGATCCGTTAGATTGTACATAATTTAGTTCTACTTTGTAAAAATTTTCATTTCGTAGTACCTCAGAGTCAAACGAAGTTATCAGAAACATCTAGTAAATTCCAATAATACAATAATCCCAGTCGGAAGGGAAGATCTGATTTTGGGTGAAATTGGGCCGAACGGTGCACGAGGTTAAGAGCACCTGTCAACGGCGCAATGCAATAGGAGAACCATCGGGCCACGTACGCGTTGCCTGATCCAGAATTCCGATCGTCGATCGCCCGGTGAATTCGATCAGCATCCCTGAAATTAGTCCATTTATTTATATTGCAGTTGACGTACGCGCAGATGACAGGTTGGCAGACGGCCGAGCGTCACGGCCCTTCGTTCTCGCAGCACCACCAGGAAGCCATGGAGTTTTCAAGAGCGATCTCGCAACTCGCGATGGCGAATCAGCAGCTGGCGTCCGCACACACGGCCACGCTGGCCCATTTAGAAGAATTGTACAAAGAGCTGCGAAACGAACGGGAACACAAGAGACGAGGAGGGGCCTCTTTGGACGAAACATCGCGAAGAAGAGTGACGATGGAGCGGGTAAACGACGACGAAGAGAGACGCAGGCTGGAGCTGAGGATCGACAGGCTGGAGAACCTGGTTACGGAGAATTTGGACGGTTCTCAACGCCGGCAAAGGAACCCACGGCAAGAGGAGGATAAGAAGCTCCGGTCTAGGGTAGACAGGCTCGAGCGGAAGAGTCCGGGTCTCGAAGACGGTCGACAAGAACGCGCTATGGATCAGCGGACGAATAGCATCGATGCCGTCCACGACAGGGTCCCGAGCATCGATTTACCTGAACGCGATTTCAAATGTCAGCACGCGGTAGACGCGATAGGAGACGAGTATCGAACCAGTTCTATTCATAGAACACGTAGCGATGAAAGGACGCCCGACGAAACTGATCGCTCGATGGTGAATTTGCATTTAGAGAAGCGCGAAAGTGGGGAGAGCAGGGTGAATGATGAAGAAGAACAGGCCGAGAGCTCGGAGGTAAACAAACTGTCGGAGGAAATCGTGAGATTAAAGGCTGAACGATTGGAGTATCATTACACGAACGAGAGACTCCAGGGTGAGCTGGACGAGCAGAGGGCGACCGTAAAGAAGTTGACGGAAGACTATGAGGTACAATGTTTTCCGAACGCCACATTTCGCTTCTACATATAATGCGGAATAATGTAGGCTCCTGGCGAAGAGATTCGGTCAAGCAAGTCAAGTGCTTGCCATTCGAATTATTTATTTATTTCTGTGCGCTATTTGTTCATTATCGATCAAGGCAAGTGAAATAACGAAATTCGTCTTATAGCAAGAAATTTTTAATCGCTTCTCTCTCTCTCTCTCTCTCTCTCTCTCTGACGTATTACGTCGCGACGCCGATACTGTTGGTATAAGGTCACAGACAAGATATCTCGCGACATAATGCCGACTGTGCGATGCCACGAACAAGTAAACACGTGTGCTTTATTACTAAGTTGAGAGCTTTAATTCGAAAAAATTTGGTTCCAATGAGACAACATAGGAGCAAACTAAGTAGTCCTAAACGGAACAAAAACAGCATCGCTGTCGTGACATAACACGTCCACGGGAGCGAAGCAGTTAATATAGAAATAAATGCATTATTTCATATTGCGTAGGCAGATTAATTAAGCCATTGCTTGAAGGCGAACTGCTTAACGGTTTGCATCTACGATTTCTTTCACAGCTACGTTGCGTTGGTTAGCACTTCCTCGTTGATCGATATTTATTCTAGGTCTGCATTAATTTCAAATACATATATTGATAGCAGAAACATTGAATTTTTACAAATGAATCTTCGTAGCAATTTATAACGTAAAGTATTAACAAATTACAATGACGTTCCATCTTGTATATCATGAATAATTGTTCCCAGACCTCAAAGTCAAATTACGAGGAGATGGAATCAAGCTTAAGGGATCGTCGAGAAGAATACGGCGCGCTCATGGCGAAATTCGACGTCGCGATGAACGAGACTAAAAGATTGTTGGAGAAGATTGATGCGTTCAATGCTGAAAAAGACACTGCCGAAGCTAGGATCTCTGGTCTGGAGCAAGAGCTGCATAAGTCGTTGATGGAGAAGGAGCAGATCAAAAGCATCGAGAGTCAGAAGACTTTGAAATTAAAAGCGCAATTGTCCGAGGAGGTCGCGGACAAGAAGAAACAGATAAAAGCTCTGGAGGACGCTTTGGACGAGATTCAAAGACTGAAGGAGACTATCAAGACTGAGAAGAAGGATAACGACGACGAGGCATCGAAGGGAGATATTGGTGAGTGTTGTTTAATTTAACATGCTCCGGATTTTTACATTTTTCGGAAATTTTATACTGATAATGGAAAATCTTGCGAGTTTGGGCAGCTTTAGCCGTCATTTAATTATTGAATTCTTTTTTTTGATGTTAGGCAACCGAGAAAATTTGTATCGCTTCTAGGTTTTGTCATTATTGAACATTATCTGATCGAGAGCCATTTACAAAACCGAATCAGAAAGAAAAACGATTCCACTGCTTATACCATTTTAATAAAAATTGTTGTTTTAATATTTAGAAACATAGAATGACGATTGCATTACGGTAAATTCTTCCTAATTCGCGCTCAGATTATGCACAAACATGGACAATTTGGAAAGAGGAGATACGATTATTCATCAATTGTTGTGTACAATCTGAGCGTCAATTAGGGAGAATTTACTGTATCCAAAATAGTAAAAAATATAGAATCTAATAATGAAATATGTCAACTTCACTCAAATTTTTTAATACATAAACTGATCCATGTAAATTGTTAGACTCGCTTTCTCTTTTGGAAACATTTTTTAATATGACTCTTTGATTATAATAAAATGTTAAATACTATTGATTTAAATAACAGTTATCCTAGTAGAAGAAATTTAATAGTCTGTTATTTGAAAAATCTTCAGAAGTTGATATAAAATCCTGAGATGGCCTATTTTATCTAAGCAAACTACTTGTTTTTATTAAACTATGACTAATACAAAATGGTAATTCTTTACTCTCTACGTATTTACAACACAATACACAAACGTAGAAAATATTATCTACCGCATATCGCGTCTGAACTATTTGCGATGAAAAACAGAAATGTTTTCTAATTTTCCATAAATTGTTCCCTGAAATTTAATTTGAGAAACTACTCGGTTGAGGAACTACATGGTTTTCTACCTTTTCCAATAGACCCGATCGACTCGATAGACACTTCCCAGGAGGGTCCACCGAACGATCGCACGACAAATATCGAAGAATTCAAGAAAGAGTTGACACTGAAGAGAGAAGCGAGGCAGAGAGCGATCGCAGCTGTTTCGTCCGAAATGGAACGGCTAAGACGCGAATTGGACGCGGAGAAGGAGGCTCATTCGGAGACATCCAGAGTTTTAGATCTGCTGAGGTCCGCTCAGAATGATTCTCAGTCTCAGGCTCAAGCCAGCAAAGACGATGGAAGGAGATCCAGGTTCAGAGATCCAAAACCGGATGAACAGGAATTAGCTATGAAACGTGTTGAAGCTCAACGAATAACACACGTATTGAAGGTGACAAGAGGAAGATTTAAAAACATTTTGCAGAAAATTAGTCTGCGTGAATAGTCTTGAAATCTTTTCACTTTAATATTTGTTTTAATTAACATGATTATCTCAAGGTCATAGTTTTATAGGCCATTCGATTCACTTGAGAAAGACTTGCAATATGACCTTGGGAGAACTGTTTTAGTGTCATTCAAAAAGAACATCCTGTACATTAGAATTATTAAAGATAGAAAGAAAGATTGCAATTAGAGATAGATCTGAATCAACGTTGATGACAGAGAAACAGATTTGAATGAATTAAGCTGTTTCATAATTCCTGTCATATTTTCGAAACCATCGGAGCTTTACGAAGACTGGTAAATTAAGTTTATCGATAATGGATACCATGGTATCCATGATGTTATCAAAAGCATTTACTAGCCAAGGGTTGATTAAATTTAGTTACCATTGATTGCATCATCGGAAATGTGTGTGTGTATGTCGATGTTTCTAGGTCTCCGATGAGCTGAGGAACGACGTTCGCTTCCAGATCGAGAAAGTGGACGACTTGCGTTATCACTTGGAAACCGAGCCCGATCAGCATCGCTACCGTATCCGTTGCTTGGCGGACATAACCAATAATACGCGAGAAGCTCTTCACGCTAGAGAATGTCGTGCCAACGAGCTGAAGGACTATCTCGCGCAGATTCTGGTCCGATTAGGGGACAGAAGTTTCTTAGAGCTGAAAGACGACGTTGGCTTCGAATGCGAACGTCAGCTGGAGAACATCAATAGCTTGAAAAGCCTCTACAACGAGAGACTGAAGGTGCTGACCGAATTGAAAGACGCGGCGATCAGGGAACTCGGCGACGTGAAAGATAGATTGAATCATTCGTTGAAGAAGTTCGAATGCCTGGAAGAGGACCTGAGGAAAGCTGACGAGAAGGTACGTTCGTAAATGTAAATTCCTATATAGAATTATTTAGTTCCGATAGCGTATTCCGTTCTGCGGCAGATCGACGCTCAGGACACCGAGATATCGAATTTGGAGTCACAGCTGGGGCTCACGAAGGCCGACTGCAGGGATCTACAGAATCAGATGTCACTGATCAATGGATTGTTCACGCAGATACTTCTGGGTGCTTCCTCTGCCGACATGGATCTCGATCGATTGACTCAGTTACTTCAGGTAAAAATCGTGATCGCTAATTCAGAAAGTTAAATAGAATTCCGAATTCCCTTCGAAGATTTCCCCGGCCGGGAAAATTTTTAATTCTAGACTTTTAATACGAGAGATTGTGTCTTGTGATTCTTAATCTTATGAAAACGTAATGAAACGTATATTTCAATATATTGAAATATATTTGATACATATTTCTTTTATCTGTACTGAAATACGGGAAACAAAAGATGTACAAAATTTTGCAAAATTAAAGTTCCAAATATCTCTCAAACTAATAACTTTTTAACATACATAATAGATTACTATTTTCATTTATACAAAATGATGAGCTGCGTCATTTATTGCTGACATATTAGCTCTTATTTTAAACCGATAAACTTTATTTAACATTACGTTAATGATATTATTAATTTTAGTTCATAATGATATTTCATATCTCCAAAAATAATGGAGATATTCAAGTGATAGAATTTACTGGACCACCACGTATACAATTATTTTTTCCAGCGAGTTCAAACCGTATTTAGAATAACAATGAATTGTTTCTTTTTTTTCAAAAATCGTTTCCCAATGTTTCTGGAATCCATTGTACGATTTACTCTGCGCTACCATTCTAGAAACATTCTTTTGAAAATGTTCGAATTCGAATTAATCGATTCGAGCGGTTGGTCGCAGAGTGTGAAACAAGTTTGTTCTGTTCAGGAGAATCATGATCTAATAAGTGACATAGCGAGGGAGGAAAGCACCGAAGCCGCAGCGCTCCCGAAGCTGCTTTTGGATCTAGTGGAGCAAGTCGAGGGCAGCAAAGGGTCCCAAAAACGCGTCGACGGGGAAAATGGAGTCGAGAGCGAGGCCGAGAAGAAAGACGAAGATCTGCAACAGGAAGAAATCGCTCACAATCTGCCCAAGGTATTTTCATTTCCGTAAATGATATTTATCATTTGAACAACTTTGCGAGTTGATATCGCTGTCCAGGTCTGGCGCGTTTTGTTGGAATTACTCAGCTGCCACACAGAGGGAGCCCAAACTTCGTCGACGGCAACATCTTCGGACCCTAACAGTTGTTACAAGTCCGTGGACACTCCGGCTGGACCGAGATTAGTGATATCAGTCAGCAAAACGTATATTCGTCTGAAGGAATTGATCTTGGAGAAGAAACATTTGGAGAAGGAAATGAATAGGATGAAGCAACTGAATTCGCACTTGGAAAGCAAGCTTGGGGAACAGGTAAGTTAACATTTAAATATTTCTGTTGTTTTATGCAGATTTTATGCAAAATTATCATTTATTTCTTAACAATTTCAATAAGCTGAAGATAGTTGAATACATACCGTTTTTTAATTCTTTAAATGTTTTTACTGTTTTGTACTTGAACTTATTTTTGTCATAAATGCATAAAATCCACAGTCTAGACATTATACAGTAGATCGTACAGAAAATAAATCTTACATCATTTTTCTTCTGTAGAATTTTACTATTAAGGTCACATGTATACGATATAAGCGAATTGTTGAGGTTTATATGTTATTGAAATTGAGTTCATGAGTGTATATTCGCGCATAAACTTCCAGTGTTTAATTGTTGATCGTTCGTGAAGTATAGAGCAATTATTTCATTCTAACTTCTAAGTCACTTTTCTTAAAAATGAGATGGCTAAGATTTTGTGATCGACGATAATGGTAATTTCTGCACAGGAGAAGAGATTATCGGCTGTGTCGGCGGAACTCAGCAAAACCTGGACCATCGTTGATCGAATGCAGGCTCAGCACCAACAGCTACACACGCACGAGAGGATTCTACGGTACGAGTTGCAACAGAAACGTAAGATGCTGCAAGAATTGAAGCAAGAGTTGGAGTACTGTCGGGAGAAATGGGAATCCGCCAGACAGAAGAACACTAACACGGAATTGGAATGGAGAAGCCTACGGCGAGAGTTCGCTGCAAGGAAAGCATTAGCTGTTCATGATTCGTTCAACAACAGGTGAGTCTGAGAATAATCAGCTTATCTTTAGTACTTAGTCAGCTTATTAAAAAGTTGCTACTCTTGTTTAAAATCGCATATCCTACAGCGCCGAGAGTGGATTTAGCGACGAACGAGGCGACGACACAGACGAAGAAGAGGATAACTCGGTCGAGGAAAGAATTAGGCTAGGTCCACGCAGAAGACCGCGAAAGGTACACCAGTGATCATATTTTTCATCTTGAACATCGACGATTTATTGTAATTTTATAGCCTGGCAATTGTTCTCTATTCTCTTAAATTTCTAGGAAGGTCCTCGTGCACCGTCGCCAGATACAGAATCGGAGCAACCAACCGATACCGAACTCTCTGAACCAAAGACAAGTTCTTCGACAACCTTGGAACAACGAACTCCTAGTCCAGAAACGGAAGCTGAGCTGGACGAGGTTGAAGTAGCAGAGACAGTTTTGAATACCGAAGTTGAAGATGTGACGGAAGTATCAGTAAGTTTGCAAAAATTGCCGGGACTAAGTTTATGGTGATAAAATTCACATCGGACCGCCAAACATTCGCATAATCTTGATCTTTATATAACATTGTCAACAGCCTGCAGATTTTATGCATTTATGATAGAAACGAGTGAATTGCGAAATGGTGAAAATATTCAAAGATTTAAACACACCGTTTTTGAACTTTTTCAAATAGATGAAACGTGAAACAGGTTTCTAGTTACTTAGCTTCTGACTTTTTTCATTCCTGCTAGAAACTTCGTATAGATTTATATATGTGAAACTGTACGTGTAAGGGTATTCATATTATAGGATCTTCCAAAGACGTCCCCAGCTTTGTTCATTTTTGTCAGCTATCGTTATTACGGAAACCTGCTTGCAGTAGTAATACTAACTTGATTAACTGTAGGGAGTTCGGTCACAGAGATTCATGCGCACAGTTTCGAAACCACTGTCTATAAAAAGGTCCGAGAAGAATTCATATTTTCCAAAGTGGGTTAAATGAAATTTAACACGTTTATCGTTCCAATTCGTAGCAGCTGATATCGGAAAACTCTCAAGAGTCTCTGGACACCTTGGACCTAGCTCTAACGAACGTGATCCAGAATCTCATAGAAATCAATGGATCGAACGCAGCATCGTCAAACTTCGAAAACTCGACCGGTGAAGCTACAGCCAAAGAAATGGTTTTAAAAAATGAGTCTGTATTAAATACTATTACCGAAGAGCCAAACGCGGGAGCCTGTAGCGTAGAAACACAGAATTCGGAGACGTTAAAAGCGACTAACGACAACTTGGACGAATGTGTCGAAGTGGCCGTCTCCGAGCACGAAGAGCTGTTACCGGTTGTCGTCGACGATTTCCAGAAGCCAGCGGAAGTGGACGGTGAGAAAGAAGAACTCCCAAGCTCGTCTGTGTCTCACGTCCCCACCGTAACTAGCCCAGCCAGCACGCAGCCTGTTTTCTCTATTGGACCCTTCCCCCCGTCTACCGCAACACCTTCGATCGTGAAAATTGTCCAGTTCAGCGAGCCTCTGATCGTTGGTCCGTCTAATCCGTTTTCTGCTCCAGTGTTTGGTGTGCCGATGTCGGACACAGACGATCATTTCGACGGCGTATCGTTTTCCTCCTCGCTCGACTCGTCCGCATTGGTCTCGCCATTTTGTCAGGAGAGCGAGCCGAAAAGCCTCGAGAAACGCGGCACCAGGTCTATGGAAAGCGTCATCGACTCGGACAGCGTTTCCGTGGACTCGTCCTCGAGCTTGGAAACTGTCAAAGAGTTCCCTGCCGTGGAACCAGCGTCGTCGTCTTCTCCAGTCGAAGCGGAAAAGAAGGAAAACATGGAGACACCGAAGAAAGAGGAAACTCCGAGGAAGTTGGAGACCAAGTCAGCTACGACGAAGACTAGAACGCCTGAAGAGGCTTTGGCAGCTAGGGAAGATAGGCTGAAGAGACTAGAGGAGCAGGCCAAATGGTTGATGAACAAAATGAATGCCACCAGCAGAAGAGGGTCTGCGTTGAGCACCAGGCTGGAAGAATTGCACGAGGCCTATGGGGAACCTCCTGTACCGCCACCTATGCCGGATGTACTTCCCAGCCAGAGGTTGCGGACTAATTTGGCGGATCTACCTCGACAGGTGAGATTACGTTAATTCATCACTGTTATGTTAGTTTCACGTATTGTACCCTGGATGTTATAATCGAGTTTTCATAATTTAACGCTAGGTTTATGGAACACTAAAAGCAATTATTTTATGTTACTTTGTGTAAAGATAACAATGATATATTTACTCGAATTTTTAGTGATTTTAATTGTAATGTTTGTACCGAGTAACAAATTTATTGAATAAGCAAATTGAAAAGTTTCTAATCCATCATTTTCACGGATCTCGTAAAGCTAGAGTTAAAAGTGTAGTGATAAAGTATTGTACAGGATGGTCAGTAACTGTAGGTACAATCGGGGGGGGGGGGG